CTATTATAGACTTAAGGTTTCAAATCTCCGAGGTAATTAGTTGTCTAATTGGTTATTTGATTCAGTTGCTAAAGTTCGATAAGGTGTCAAGACACTGATGGTACAGTCAGCTTCATAGATCATAACCTCAATATCAATTATTTTTGTTATTTTATATGTCATCAAGTAAACATTTAAATAATAAAGTCAATATAATTTAGTATAACAAATATATTAATATAAATAAGATATGTATCTATTTCTATATAGGTAATTCAGAACTTTTGATATCAAGAATTAGTACTATATATAATACCTATTTTTCAGATCATTATTGTATATGTATATGTGTATTTATATGCGTATCTAATTATAGATATATTGTTGAAACTTTGCATTCACACTACGTTTTCTGATCACGCTACCGTTTATTAATAACATAGCCTTAAGTCAACAATGGGCAATTCTAAAATATTGTTTAATTGTTGGATATACTACTGGCTAATATATCCTGTCTAACATGGATAATTGAATAACAACTATAATAGGAAACACCAATACGTTTGCAATCGTCAACAAGTCGGAGTCGGCATGGCATACATCGGAGCACTCATCATTGCTCGTCAAACGTGGTTGTAGTTAATCGATATGCAAGTCCAATTCTTACGGAGATGTTAGCAGATTTAGTCGGTAGTTCGGTCGTTCCTATAACTTCGCCACGTCTACCTAAAATCCCTCAAACTATGAAAGTACTCTCATAATATCAGCTATGGAAATATAAAAGTTCGATTATTTCTGGCAGGCCGCCGCATATGTAAACTGGTTTTGAAAAGTAAGAAGTAGGTATATATACTATAATTAATTAAAAAATAAATAATTATCGGGCATTCACCCAAGACTATATTATTATTCCCGTAGGATGTAAGAGATAATATAAGAATATTATCGTGACTACCACAGGGAGATTTACAATCCCGTAGTAGATGCCGAAATAATAATTCATATAAAATATCAGGATTACTTAGTAAGTCGAGATAAGTGTTTTTGGTTTAAAAATGAATAATCTAACAAATAATGTTTAAAATGTTCTCGTAAATGTTATTTATAAACTTTTGCTCTTTATAGGTGGAACTTAAAATAAAGTTGGATAATGTTTAATATTAAAATAATAATGGAAAATATTTGCATAGATATTACATACAGCATATGCTATTTTTGTACATAAAAATTAACAAATTCATGAGAAGCGATAGATTATGCTTAGAAATAAATACAATTATAGGTAGAACGACGGGTAATTTGTTCTTATTAAGACTTATTAGGAGACCGACAAAAGCAACTTGTTTTTCATGCTTCGAACTATTCGAGGAAAATAGTGTAGCGTCGTTGTCACGGCTACTACTCATTAGTACTAACAGATGTACGTAACAAGTAAGTCATTATAATGGATATAAAAACGTTGTATTTATATATTTTTCATATTTAAAATTTTTTTTACTTCTCTTATATTGCCCGCTTAATACTACGCTGCGTTCACTTGAATAAATAAACAAACACATATAAAATTAGAAAAAGACTTCTCAATTAAAGCTAGTTAATTAAAATTTCACAAAATTGCAGTTTTGGAGTTAATACTGATTTAATTTGTACATATAAGTATATACTGTTATTCGGACGGAGTAACAGTATATAATTATAATTAACAAGTCCGAGAGATGTTTTGACTCGAGTAAATAAATATTGGGCAAAGTAGTCCATTTGGTTCTATACTTTATTTATACCATGTAATAGATTTGATATACATTTTAAGTACTATAAACCGAACATTTTTCCATTGGCTTGACGTACAGTAAAAGTTATACGACTTCCGTTGTATACACCGTACATCCGCGCGGAATTGAGGTGGGTCCCCAGTATTATTTGTAATGTCAATTATTTAATAAAACATGACAACTAGATAATAAACGTTAGGACCTCATAACATTGGATTTGAAATTGTTTTAAAAAGTAAACGCAATAACAAAATGATGTAAGTAGGTGTAATCTTTAATTAACAAGCGTAATTTAATATATAAATGTTTTTAAAATTGCAAGAAGGTTAACTATGGAGTGGAATCGTCTGATTTACTAGGAAAGTAACTCCTTAGTTATTTATAGTATACTAACTATTCGCCCCGGCTTCGCACGGGTTCGTACATGTATTATATATATAAAAACCTTCCTTTGGAATCACACTAACTATTTAAAATAACCACTTCAAAATTCGTTGCGTAGTTTTAAAGATTTAAGCATATGTAGGGACAGACAGCGACAGCGACTTTATTTTATACTAGATATGCAATGATAATTATATATTTTTAAAGTAAACGTTCGTAACAAATAGAAATATAATTATGTTATTTGCTTGGTAAGAACATATTTTATATAAAGATACAGGTAGGTAGTTCAGGTAATTTTATACCTTCTGAGTAAACAGCCATTATAATTATTTTCTTAAGCTTTCATTGGAATTTATATGGAAAGTTTTGTTCTTATAAAGCATCAAGTTACCGTTGCTTGTTATTCCTTCGAATGCTTTGTTTCTTCGGATTAAGTCGCTTCTTGGATTTGATTATTACGTGCTGAAAGTATCTGTCAAATGTGGTATTAGATGTTTAAAATATATATTATTATGACAAATATATTAAAATTTACATATAAATACAGTAGCAGTCAGATAAGACAAAGAAGCAAAGCAGCAGCGAAACACGGCTAGGTGTTTCGCTGCTTCACATACACTTTAGCACTTAGCTATTGTCATTTTTACATTTAGTTTTTTCTCATTAATCAAATAATAAGTAATTAGATGGCCATGTTTAGTGTCTGAATAGAATTGCTGAATGATCATTGATCCGATTATATTTCATTTAAGTTTTCTTATTAAATAAGGATTCAATAAACACTTATATTGCATTGATTTATATTTTGTACAAAGATAGACTAGGTAGAAAGTTAAATCGTAATTAAACTGTCCAATTAATGAACTAATAAATATTTATAATTTAGATTTGACGAATTTCAAGTTGAAAAACAGTAATCTCCGATTAAAAATGGATAGAGATCACCTGTCGCGTACACGATCAACAGGAAACCAGTCCGGGCGAGGCTGCGAGGAGCAAGGAGAACGTAGCCTCCGACGGCAGTCTCCGCCCAGCCGCCCTACGCGAGAGTCGCCGCCTAGTGCGACTTGCGTCCAACGTACGACGTACCGCCCGCCCTGACCCTTCCGTCGCCGTTGTAGCTGCTGCTAGAACGGACGGCCGCTCACTTATCCAGCTTGCATCAATAAGCACTTTATTAAATATAAATATGTTCCCTCACAACTTGTCTCATAAGTTCGTTCCCCTGTAAAGAACGTTTGAAGTTTACTGTTACAGATATAGAAGGATTCTCCGCGTCCTTTTCGACTTAAAGCAAGGTGAGTTTGTAAATATGTTTGGTTTGATATTTATGTATTTTAATTATTAGACTTCATTTTTTTTGCACATATTTAAAGTATTATTATTTTATTGTCTATAAAACATATTATGGGATTAGAAATATGTCAATATATAATATTATTTCTATATTGCTATTCTTACTTTATTCTGCGATATATTGTGTTTACATGTGTATTCCTATCATTTAAGAGAGTTTGTATTTTATTATAAAATTAATATATGTATTTAATTTAATATTATGACATAGTTGTATATTATTTATAATAATTGTTATACTATATTGTCTCATTCAATTCGCCAATACTAGAAACACAGTTCGTATAAATTTCGTCTCGATTCGATCAGAGGTTTCATACCGTAGTTGAATAACAATAAGACGCAAAAGCTCGATTCATATTTATGAGGTATGCGTCTTTCTAGACAAAGTTTAGAAAGTGTGGGTACGAAGGGTTCTGTTCCAACGCTGGGTTGCTATTACGACCTTTTTCAATACTTTTACTGTGTAGTTATTCCAGAATATTGTATCAATTGGAGATCAACTAAACTTGAAAATTGAATGGTATCACAAACTACATCTTTTGACATGTCAATTATTGACTATACTGCATAATACTCTTACAGTATAGTACAATATCAATAACAATAGGTAATAATAAATTTTCATTTAGCTAAAAGTAAATAAATGAAGTAGTGATGCAGGTGTCTGCTCAACGGGTTCTTATTGAATTGAAGAATATTTTGCATAATTATAATAGATAATATATCAAAATATATAGAACAAAATAAATAACGACATAGACACCATGTAGTTCCAAACTAAGCAAAACTTTTACAATCGACAAACTACTTTTTTTATACTTACATGTGTTTTTAATATTTTTTTCAAAAATGAGTTTTATATTTATTTGTCTGGATCTTTTTTTACGTAGACAAAGGTCCAAACTGATATAAAAGTTATTTTTTAACAAATGGTTAAAAAGTTTAGGGTATTAAAATAAATTTACTGTTCATTTTCATTTACCTTACTATTTAATTATACAGCCCACACTGCTGTGGATGTGAGATGTGAGGTGAATGATGTAGGCACCTTAAACCCCAAGCTTATATCCGTCGATCAACTGATATAAATAGTAACTACGATCTAAGATTTTACTTGAGTGCTATTATATTGTCTACTAGAATACTAGGATTTGTAAGCTTTTATCCTTTGTCAATCGTAATGAGCTCGTGTATTGACATAAAGGTGTTGGGTTTTGGAAGGAATAGAGTAGATGCTGTAGTGATGTCTAGTGAAATATAGTCTTAGAGGATAACAGGATTAATAAGTTGATTTTTTTAAGTAGTTTGAGTTGATATTGTCAAGTAACGATGGGATGGCTTCTATGAATATTATTGTTGTTGTCTGTCACAATGTTTATTTGATATTAAAGTTCTGTATACAAAATAATATAATAAAATTCTTTAGAAAAATACAATATATGAAGTATAAAAGTATATGGCCAGTACGTCAGCAACATGGCGCCCCGCGGTGTGAGCACCGGTTTAGTTTGAGCTGACATGCTGGCGGTCTAGTAGAGGAACCAACTTTCGGGCTGGGCGCTTGAGGATACCTCCTTTGGTGGCGACCTCTGCCACACGGATCGTTTTGTCGGGACCGAGGAATGTTTTAAAGATACGGCCCCGTGGCCATGAACCGCGCGGAAGGTTGCCGTCGGCAATGAGAACCGGGTCTCCGACTTTAAATTCTGGTTTTTCTCCTGGTCGTCTCGGATTCAGTGTGGGGAGGTATTCCGTCAACCATCTAGCCCAAAAGTGGTCAGCAAGACGAAGGCCCTTTTTCCAATTTACTCGACGGATAAGGTCGCGTTCATCCATCTCTCCGAATGATTGGTGGGGAGAGGAGCAACCAATTAGAAAGTGAAATGGCGTTATACTTTCTTCGTCATTAGGGTCTACGGAGACGTGGGTGAGTGGCCTTGAATTTATTAAGGCTTCGGCTTCTAGGAGGAGTGTGTGTAGAACCTCTTCTCGTGGGGATTTTTCTTTTAGTGTTGTGGAGAGAGCTGTCTTTACGCTTCGGACCAGCCTCTCCCAACATCCGCCCATAAAGGGTGCCCCAGGTGGAATGAAGTGCCACTGGATCCTTTTATTGGCAGCATCATTGACTACGTCGTCATGGTAGAGTTGCATCAGTATATTATTTGCTCCGACGAAGGCTGTCCCGTTGTCTGAGTAAATTTTAATTGGGCATCCACGCCTTGATATAAAGCGACGTAGAGCCATGATTGCCGCATCCGAGGATAAGCTGCCAACAATTTCTAGGTGGATGGCTCGTACTGTCAGGCAAGTGAAGAGTGCCACATAGCGTTTTTCGGTTCGTCGGCCAATGGATACAGTAACTGGCCCGAAATAATCTAGCCCAACAAAGGAAAATGGGCGTACGCTATGAGCCATCCGTTCTGCAGGTAGATCACCGAACGGTGGGGTCGGTGGGTTCTTTTTACGAAGGCGACACATCATGCATTCGTTGGCGGCTTTCTTTACGGCTGGACGTATACCGAAGATGAAATAGTTCTGTCGTAATTCGTTGACAATTAATTCTGTGTTCGCATGTGCTGCTCTGTTGTGATGGTGTTTTATTAGAAGTTTTACGATGGGATGCTTGCCGTCGAGCACAATGGGGTTACTTGTGGTGATTGAACCCGCACAGGCTCTTGTCCTCCCTGCTAATTTTAATATTTGGGAATCGTCCAAGGTGACAGCTAGCCGTCTCAAACGACTTCTAGAAGGCAAGGGCTTTTCGGCTTTAATAAGGCGACGTTCTTCTCCAAAGGAGTCTAGTTGGGAACGCAAGAGTAAGCGGAGTTCTGATGCGACTAGATCTGAGGCTTGTAGCCGTCGAGAAGGGGCTTCGTCAACCCTATTCCCTATCTTACGAAACAATAAATGTATAAAAAACCTAGCAGCGAGAGCAACAGTAGCTGTAGCGCGAACTAGACGTAACCAATTACTGAAACGACAGTGATTAGCTACTACTGGGGATAGTTCCGGAGAATTATCTGTTGTTAGTGCAACTAGCCCTCGATCACATTTCATTTCTTCGGGGCCTAGTCGCACATTTGTGGAAGGTTCCTCAGGCCATTCATTTTGACCGAGTAATAGAAAGGGTGGCCCGGAGAACCATCGTGAAATTTCGAATTTTGATTGTGGCCTCGTAGCGTCGTCAGCAACATTCAGATGAGTTGGAACATATTTCCAACAAGAAATGTCTGTGAGTTCTAATGTCTGTGAGTTCTAAAATTTCTCCAACCCGATGTGAAACGAATACTTTAAAATTGCGAGCATCACTACGAAGCCATTTGAGAACTGTCAAAGAATCTGACCAAAGGAAAATTTTGACAGGCTTATGTTTATGAGCCTCTATTAAATATTTGCAAAAACGAGCAGCGATCAGAGCTGCCTGGAGCTCTAATCTAGGTATGGAGGCTGGCTTTAGAGGAGCTAACCTCGCTTTTCCACCAATAAGGCTTATTTTGCAATCGTTGGGCGTTATGAAACGCCAATACGCTACACAGGAGTATGCGTATTCGCTAGCATCAGCAAAGACATGGAGTTGTTTTTCCGTCCACTCACATGTTGTGTAGCAGCGTGGAATAGAAGTTTGGCGGAGATTTGATAAGTGCTCAAACCAATGTTTCCATTTTAATAGAATTTCGGATGGTAAGTGATCGTCCCAGTTGATACCGAGCCTCCAGGTTTGTTGAAAAAGAATTCGACCTCTTATGACAATAGGAGCCAACAAGCCTAGAGGGTCATATACTTGCATTAGTAATGATAGGACATGGCGCTTAGTCCACTTAGAAGACTCATGGATAGGGGGTAAACTTCGCAAAAGGCCTAGAGAGTCATCAACGATGTTCCAAGACACTCCGAGAATTTTATGGTTTGGAGCATTGTTTGCGAGATTTACCTCTAAGGTGTTTGTGGCACATAGATCTCGAGGAATCAAGGTAAGAGCTTCTTTAGAATTAGAAACCCAATTTCTCATCTCGAAACCTGCGCGAGAGTGGACTTCTACAATATCAGCTACGAGACGAGCTGCTTCATCTGCAGAGTCGACGCTACCCAGGTAATCGTCCATGTAGTGGTTGTTAACTACAGCATCTACGACCATCGGAAATTCTTTTTTATAATCTAATGCGTTTTTATTTTTCAGGTAGAGAGCTGTGCACGGACTGGAGACCGCACCGAAAATCATCGACGACATTCTGTATTCCAAAATCGGTTGGGATGGCTCATTACGCCACAGGAAACGTTGAGCGTCTCTGTCCTCCTTCCGGATTTTAATTTGGGGAAACATTTCCCGAATATCGCCGTTGAGAGCGATGCGGCCTTCACGAAAACGCATCAGGATTGCTAACAGAGGTTGCAGTAAATCGGGACCTGCTAAAAGCATAGAATTGAGGCTAACACCTTCAAAAGTGGCTGCTGCGTCGTGTACAACCCTAAGTTTCTTTTTTTGTGGGTGTACGACGCCGAAATGTGGCAGATACCAAGTGATTTTGGAGGGGTCTGCAGGTTCTGTGCATATTTCTGCGTAACCCTTGACAATGTTGGCATTTATCTGTTGCCTATATGATTCTGCAAGCGAGTTATCACCTATGAGTTTTCGTTCTAGGCTTTTAAAGCGGGACAAGGCAAGTTTATAATTATTGGGGACATCTTTTAAGTTGTCTCGCCATAGGAGACCTGTTTCAAATCGCCCTGAAGGAAGGCGAGTAGTGGTGGACTCTAGTAAATCTAACGCTCTTTGCTCAGTAGGGGTGCGATAATCTTTAGCTACAATGCCTATAGAATCTAGTTTGTAATGTTCTTTTATGAGATTTTCTAACGATTCATAGCTGTTTGACGGATTTACAGTTGTGGAAATGGTATGGTTTACGAACTCGATTGGTTTGGTTTTACTCGAGCTGAAACCGAAAAGGACCCAACCAAGAGGGGTGAGACCGGCTACAGGCTGAGACTTAGAGCTCTGGCGGATCTCTGTGGGCAGGGTGAGGTTCCAGTTGTCGATACCAATTAAAAGCATCGGTTTAGCATGTTCATAACATATAAAATCGACCAAATCAGATAAATAATGTAAACCTTTAACAAACTCGCGATCAATATGTTGTGGACCAAGGTTCAGGTTAGGAATAGAACGAACATTTTCTAAAGAATGCCACTCCGTACTATAACGTCCCTTGATTGTGATGTCGACTAGGGATATATCGGACTCAGTTGACATACCTCCTATACCATCGATCTTAATATGGCTTCTTCGTCCCTTTGCACCTATGGCGGACGCTACTGACGAGTCTAATAGGGTGGCTGTAGAGCCATCATCTAGCAGGGCAAAAGTATCGAAAGTACCTTTAGGGCCGGCTACTGTGACGGGAACTACCTTCAGTAGTGGACGCTGGGACGTAGGGAGCGATCGACTGTGGGTGACGGTTGCCGACGAACTCGGCGCTGTATCGTCACTCGATGGACTTGTGTCGTTTTGAGTCTTTGTTGGTGAGGTGGTTCTGTGGAGTAGGGAGTTATGGCTTAATCTACTCTTACACCCTTTCACCTGACAATGCTTAAGCGTACAGCGGCGAAAGAAATGGGGATTGCTTTGGAGGCATTTGTAACAGACTTTGTTAGCAATGACCCACTTCCATCGATCTTCTACTGTAGCTAAACTAAACTCTTTGCACGTTTCAATGTTGTGAGCCTTTGAGCAATAAGGACAAATAGCAACTTTGTCTATGGTACTATGACATGACGTCAGTGGATGACATTGACGTTTGGGCGGTTCGGGCTTTACGTGTTCAGAATAGGTTCCATACCGAACACGTAATTCCGCCTCGAGCATAAGAAATTCGGACAGTAGTTCGAGTCGAAACTTGCCCAGAGTCTCTTTGCTTGCTGCATAGTCTGCCCAACGGATCCTGAGTAATGGCGTAAATTTTGTTAAGATCTCGTTGGCCAAATCGGGTGACGCCAAATACTCTGGTCGGTTGAGCAGTCGCACGACTTCCGTGCATCTGCGTACTTTGCAAGCAAAAAGATTGAGTTCCTTCATGCTCTCATTATTACTTATTTTTGGGAGAGCTCGCATTGCCGAGATCTCTGAAAGTATTATGAATTCGGGTCTAGCAAAAAATACCTCAAGAGCATGAATGACCTCACGAGGGTCGCGCGTGGCCGCTAGCAGTATAGCTACGTGATCGCGCGCGGCCCCACGGAGACTAGCATTGAGCCTCGCCAAGTTCTCCGTTGGTGTTAGCGCCGGGCTGGACTCATCATATGACTTTTTAAATATAAGCCAATCCGTCGCGCGACCATCGAAGAGTGGGAGCGGTGCACTTACCTTGGATGATTGGGCCGCTTTTATAGCGACGTCAGCGACTGCTCGAGCAAGGTGTAGAGTGTGGTGGTTTTCTATGCTTTTATTTGTGATACAATTATGCGTATGTGTGCCTATGGTGTTGTTTTGTGGTATGTACGGGTCCGTCACAATGGGGTGCGCCGAGAAGTGCCCACTATGGGCCGCCTGCTCCTGTGGCACGGCCTTGAAGGCAGCGCCGTGAGGGCCCTCCATGGGCATCGGCACTGCAGGCCCTGCAGGTACTGCATCGCATGCAGCAGGAATGGCAGGTGGACTGGATGGGTTCTGAGTCTCCGGCGCGCAGTTTGTTGCTATATCTTCTCTCGGGGCTGATGCGCAGTTCTTGGATGTCGTAGCGAAGTTAGCGTCCAGCCAGTTCTCTACTGAGTTCCTGGAGCTACGGCGGCTAGAACGACTATTTAGTGCTGCTATCTGGGCACGCATTTCTGCTTCAGAAGCAGCGCGTTCTGCGGCAAGCGCTCGCTGCTGTGCCTCGCGTTCGGCAGCTAAGGATCTACGTTCGGCTTCGGCAACGCGACGTGCATGATCTGCTTCTATTGCTAGCCTCTCTGCTTGCACGGCGCTTGTTGATGAGCGATTGGAAGGTGCACTTTTTGCGGAGGTTCGCTTTGTCATGCTCCGAGTTAGCATTTTTATGAAATTGGACTAGTACTTACGTAGTGAAAATAATATACAACACAGTTTTGCACTAATATATCGATAATAATATTAAATTATTTTGTGTAAGCGAAGATTTTTATAATTTTTCAGCTTCTGACACCAGATGTTGTTGTCTGTCACAATGTTTATTTGATATTAAAGTTCTGTATACAAAATAATATAATAAAATTCTTTAGAAAAATACAATATATGAAGTATAAAAGTATATGGCCAGTACGTCAGCAACAATTATTTTAATGCTGACTTTATCATATTCATATTATTTTATTCCTAAATGTAACTCATCTCGTTACAGAATAGCATGTCAATAGTAATTACAATTATATGACAACAGATAATTATGTCACAATAACAATTTTAATTATTTAATATAATAAATTAAAAAAATAAACTAATAAACATTGTATCATAATTTTACGTTGTAATTCAGATATTCAGTGACATTGTAAAAAGGATGATGTTAGAATTATGTTTTTATTTTGTTCTTAAGTTCTATTAATTTTACTATTCTGGCTTCTGACATACGGCTAATGCTAGTTCAGAAGCCAGGACTACACAATAATCTTGAAAGTGTACTTATTGTATAAATAATATTGTAACGATTCTACTGAGTTAAATCTTTATATAATTATTATTATTATATTATTATTAATGTCAATTCCATATTGGGGTTACAATTGTATTGTATTTAACCTTTGAGGTAGCTTTATAAGGTCATTTATCTTAATATACTAGACGGATTAAACCACAGGAAATATGAGTACTTTAAATTAAATTATTAAAACTTTATATTAAATAATTTTATGAACACAATTAGCCTTGAAATGAAACTTAGAACCATGTGGTTACATTTTGAGATATTAAAAAATCATAAACCACCACTTTAGGTTCGATCATCGCGGGTTTGATTCCTCGCACAGTTTAAACATTTGTATTCATAAGTGTTTGTATCGATCTGGATATTTTTCTATGTATATAATGTATGTATTTACAAAAAAATCTAAGTGTTTATATCAGTTGTCTAGTATCCATAGCATAAGCTCTGCTTATTGTGACACTGGATGGCGCTGTGTTTATTATCCATCATATTATTATCCTAACTCTCATAAATAAATACCTGTAAAGTATTTCGTAAACTATAAATATTTCTAAAACGTTATTGTTTCTTAATTGCTTTAGTACAAATTAATTACTCAATTAATTATAGTAATTAAGAATTAGGATTTTAAACATAAATTAAAATGTTTTGTTGGTGAAAATCCTCATGGCAGGTCGTATATGGCGCTCTTAATATGTAATATCTATGTACGTCAGTTCTATTCTAAAGATCTGCCGTAGCAAGCTAGTTGCTAGAAACAACTGCACATTTTACACTCTGGTCACAGTTCTATAGTACATATGTGTGAGTAATATACATATTATTAATAACAATGTGTCACGTATTTATTTATTTGTGATGATTTGCTTATAAAAACAGGTTAATTACTATTAATTTTTCTTCCTTATACAATAGATATGATGAAGTATTTGCGTATGTATATAATTTTTGTTTAAAGTAATGCTCTAATACATATAATTGAGCATTACTTTTTAATAAAAAGTATTGACATATATTTCACATATATAACTCAATTATATTATCAATTTTAATATTAAGTAACGCATACTTAATATTACTTATAAATTGTAACCAATTTTAAGCAATCATTATTCACAACTATTTTTATGACTAGCGATTTGCTGCTATAAATCTGAAATTCAATAAAATTAGTTTTGGTTATGTCATGTATATTTAGGTTATTCTTATTTTGTTATAAATTTTATTTTTATTCAGTATTATTTTCAAATTTCATTCTAATCTCAGATTCACCCTTTATTATGAGTGTAGTGTCGTCAACGAATAAGATACAATTATCATTAATGACAAGGGCTAATATTGGGTGCGGTTTTCATGAAATAATTGTAGTAAGCTTTACTTAAAATTCCTTGTTTATTCCAGTCAGTTTAAAAACAATAAGTTTAATACTAAAAAAAAATAGGATAGGGTATTTCGAATACAATGGTATTTGGAACACACATGAACGAAGCCTAATAGGCTTAGAAATCTAAAATATATATACGACCTACAAAAAATCATCAAAATCCTTAAGATATCGTGTAACAAAAAAGACCTAGGTACTATATTTAGAAATCCCACCCTTGTCAATAAAATTAATGATTACAACTTACAAGTTTATTTGATCACATAGACGTTAAATAACCATACATTTTCCTATCGAGATTGTTTCCTTAAACATAGTTTGAGAATCCATTTTACAAACAGATTGATGTCACAAAACAACAACTTTACTATTATATCGTTGTCTCAAGAGATATAACGGCAGGATTGCTTTAATTATAATTGATGTTTTACAGTTACATTGTATATTTGTCGTAGGTACATACATATAGCAATGGATGTATTTCAACCATATTTTTTAATGATGGACCATTGGACTCAAATGCACCATGCATTTGAGCGTGCTACTGGGTTACGCTGGAGGAGAACTAGTATCGGATGATAAATAGATGCTACAATGTGCTAATGGACATGAGGTCAGGTCCATTAGCACATTGTGGTTCCATTTTTTATTAAACTTCAATTAATTTAATTTAATTAACCATAAATTTATCAAACGGTGGGAACCTCGGTAAAAATATCTGACAGACTACGAACATTTTTCTACGTCTTTGTATAATTTCAATTTACCTCAATTGCATATTTTAGGTTAAACTAAAAGAAACATAATGTGGAGTAATACCGCTTACAATGACATTGAATTAAAAAAAACATGATTGTAGTTCTTTTTTTTAATAACTAGTGAACACATGAAGTAGTGCGAGTACAGTCGACATACTATAATTTAATTTTTACAAATGCGATTTAATGATGCAAAATAACAATAAGTTTAATAATAGGTGCATGAATTACCTATTTTTAAACTTACTCGGATTTGAAAATTTCATGGAACAGTTTATGAAACTAAGTAAATTAAAAACATTGATTGCTATTATTTGTAAAACTAAATTTCCAATGTATTTAAATAAACATTTTTCTTTTACATAGGAGTCTAAATAAATAGTGAATTGTACCTTAGTACTTTGGAGCAAACAATATTCTTACATTTATTTTGAATCGTGAATTCCGCGAAGTATTCAATACTGGTGCGTACACTGCCTGAGGTAAGAATTTTGCGACCGACTGAAACACTTTGCTCTTAAAATCCTCTCAATGAGAAAAATAAATAGAAGATGTTTTTATATATAACACAATTCATGAATATACATATTTATGTAAAATAGTATTGTAATGCTTATTGCTTACTTAAAGTAGGAAAATTAGTCAAGTACTACATGAAATATATATATAGGCCCTTATTTTAGATTTCATCTATTTACTTGATATTATTGAATTACTAACTGGGTTACCAATTATTTTTCGAATAAATAGAAGGATATTTCAACAGCTTCTGCGATGCTGATACAATTATAATAAATATTATTTAAAATTTAAATGATAGGTAAACTTTGCTGTGAAATTATTAACTCTGACGTCACTCCTTTCTTCACTGGAATAGCTACATGACAGATGGCGTTATATGATATCACCATCATCATCATTATCTGCTTCTTCCTTATCCCCTTTATTTATGACGTTGTATGATATATGCGGAATTACTATTTTCTTATAATTTAGTTGTATTTATTATTTATTTATTCGAAAATTACTGTTTAAATAGAAAGATAAGAAGTTTATTGATATTTATAACTGAGGTAGATAAAAGTCGTCTGCTAGGTTACCTCAGTCTCACAATTCTTCAGCCGTCAAGCAACTCGCTTTTTAAGCTGTGTATCGGTTGAAGAGAGAGCTAAAACAGTGAAATTATATCATGACATCATCTGGAAAAGCAATGGTAACTGGTCGCGTGAGTCACATCAGAAATTCATGTTCGTAATGCTGTTCACATATCACATATAGGCGAGTGTTATCACATACTTTACATCAGGCGGGTCGTCAGCTTATATAAAAAAACCTTTTCGATTTTATTTGATTTATATTGCCTCATAAAGTGAGCTGTATTGCCCACTCGATTAGCACCACACACATTTCTCACTTATACTAATGATCTTGGTAAAGTTTTGAGCACAGTTGTTCTTAGAACATCCTCTGTCTTTACGACTTTGAGATCAAGACAAATTTCTTTGACGAGTTTACCAACATGTTAATTGCTAAGAATTTTATGTCAATAGTTTTCTATTTTGTTTTTATTTGACGATAGAACATAGATGATATTTCAAATTATATATATTTACGAAATTATAATGTTTCTTATGAATTTTTTTTTTATACCACTTAGGTGGCAAACAAGCATACGGCCCATCTGATGGTAAACGATTACCGTAGCCTATAGACGCCAAAAACACCAGGGGTATCACATACGCGTTGCCGACTCTTAAGAAACCTTAATATACCCTTCTTGAAAAACCCCATGCTGTAGTCTCTCGAGAAAACTTCGGTAGATAGTTCATTCCACAATTTAAGTGTACGCAGGAGGAAGCTCCTCTGAAACCGCACTGTCCGAGATCACTTATATTCCAGCGTGTGGGGATGAATTCCCTGGCGATGGCGAGCGGTGCGATGCTAAAAGGTAGCCATCGCTTTGTGTGTTCTACCGAATATACAACGGACTGTGTTCTGATGAATTGTTTGACATGGTAGGCATCATGTCAAACAATTCATCAGTCCGTTGTATATTCGGTAGAACACACAAAGCGATGTGAAGTCTCGCCTCAAGCTAAGTGGTTCGATACCGTTTGAGAGATTGGGATCATCGACAATTCATGAGAATTGTCGATGATGCACGTCTATGAACCGAGTCAAAAGGGCCGAGCTGGTATCCAGGTGCTCCTGCCCA